TTGTCTCTCTCCCCCCCCGAGAAAAAGGTTCTCTCGCTCAACTAATAACCCGACCACTTTCTGTAGGAGGTATTTGCAATTATTGTGGCTGCATCAAGTAAAATTATTAATTTATCTGCTACATCTTTGCTCTGTGGATTGTGCACTCTGTAATGTGGACATACATTGACGGAAACATCTCGGACAGAATGTACAATATATTGTTGTCTGATAGAACACACGTCTGCATCACCCTTCATTAGCCTGACCTCCTAGTTTAAACATTTATTATTGTATGTTTACACTGCTTGAACACCCTCAACTCTGACTTTTAAACAGTGTTCGCTAGTGTCTTTAGCTATTACATTTAGACATGTGACCTTCTCTTCTCTTGTACTTTACGATGTCTGGGTCGCCTAGGAAAGCAGGATTTGGTTCTGATTTTACATACCATTGCTCCTCTTCCAGCCACCCCTCACTTTGCTCGTCGCTCATTACGGACCGACCTTTGTTTGAACATTTGAGGCCATCTCATGTCTGTCATAGCAGCAGATAATGGCCGCCTTGCTCTTTTACCATGCACTGTGTTCACTGTGATCTTTGAGGACATCATTATCTTCTCTGTGCATGTCAACCCAGAGTGGTGTTTCTTCACTACTGAATTTCTTCCAAGTTTTGCAGAAAATTTCAGGCGGTTTTTTTGAAAATGTACTTTCAAATTTTCTCATGGTGCTTTCTGCTCTTTTTTTTTTTTTTTATAAATTTCCCGATTACTGACAGATTGGTTTTCCAGCAGCCATTCATAATTGCTGAGTTTGCTATAATGTCTTATTGTAAGCCACGTAAAAAGCAGGGTCACTATCAAACACTTGTGCAGCAAGAATGAACACCTGCCTTGTTCTCACGCCATTAACTCCCTTAACACGTTAGGTGCCTTTTTATTATATTCAATCTTTTTTTTTGCCTTCAAGTCCTTATCTTGCTTTTTTTAGGTCTCTGTCAGCTTGTCAGATATTTTGCCTTCACATTTCAACAGTGCAAGATTTCCCCTTATTGGCCAATATCTTTGTTCTGCCACTTGTTTTTTTTTTTTTTCTATAGCAAAAGTCACTTCCTGTGTGCTATCCCTGTCTCTTCTCATGCCTGCAGGACACTCTTTCTCATCTAGCTTTGAACTCTTTCATTTTGCACTGTAGTGATTTTTTTTACAAACATATTTATTCATTTATAGCTCTTTTGCATTTGAGTGCACCTTTACTATCCCAGTTTTCCATCTTTTTCACTCCCCTCAGCTCTTAACTTGCAACACTGAGCAGGCCTCACTTATACAGTGTTAGTTTAATCCCTGTCGCCCTGTCAGAAACTGTTTTCTCTGGTTTCTTTTCACACTACAGCAGCTTTGAGCACAGACAGTGTTTTTCAATTCTCTTGGCTCAACAGCTTCCAGACAGTCTTCACTTTACCCTCTTTTTTTGCCACAAAGTCAAGCAAAGGAGCTTTTTTGTAAGGTCAAGATGTTTTTTTTTTTTTTTTTTAATAATTTTTTTCTGCTCCACCCACATCTCACAGTGATGGCAGCCCCCTGTCAATCGTTGATCTGCCCTATCCTGATAATCATTAGCTTGTTAAAGTCCTGTCTTTGCTCCATTTAAATAAAAATACATTGTGGGCTGGATACTAAAGACAGCGTTAAGGGGTCTCCTCCTGATGTGTGAATTATTGCACGGTGGTAGTGACAGCAAATGGATTCAGGTTAATTAAACAGAACAAAGTACAAGCATCCAACAGTTGAGCAATGCACTATTTCTTCCTTCTGCTGACGTTCGCTGAATCCTTGGTGTCCCTTCGACTGGGCCCAGCACTTTGTTTAATGTGCTCAAGGTGTCTCAATGTTTTTTGTGAAGGGCTAGAGGTGATTGGACTGCCTGAACAGATGAATAATGGTAATAATGGTGGACAGCAAAGTTCTGTTATGCTACTCACCCTTTTCTCATGTGAAGGAGCAAACCAGCCTCATCCTCGGTCCAAACTAAGGTTCATGTATTCACCATTTTGGATGTAACTGTTTACATACTCAAGACGGAGCTGTCTGCGTGTATGCACTTGTCGTTGAAATACAAAAATCATAGTCAGTGTTTCCCCTAGATTACTTGCCTTGGCAGGACGCTTGTGGGGGAAGCGCCATGTTTGTATTGCGCACGGTTGTCTGAGGATGAGGGTTGGTTAGCTGAGCTCTATGTTTGTATTGCTCGTGGTTTGGAGTCTGAGTTGAGTTGCTAAACTCCACTTTCTATCCAGAAGTGAAGGAGCTGCGTGGGGGATGGGGGATTTGGTAGGTAGGACACTTGGTTCTGTTGACAGGGACTCTTTAAATAAAGGTAGGGGAAACCTTGATACTGCCATCTAGTGGCCTGGCATGGAAACTACATCTAATTCAATGTGCATGATAGCAATACCGTGTAATATTTTCTTCCTTAATTAGCAAAGGAAAAAAACACTATGTTTCCAGAGATTGTTTACATGTACACAAGGCCTTAATGCCATGCTAGTTTTTTAAAAGGAATCACATTTCACTGTATTCTCACCACTTACAATTTCAAATAAAAGCTCAAAAAGGATAGGGGCAGGAGTCTTTTAGGAAATAGGCTTCAGCTGTCATTTGTGGATACAATTTTTAAGGAAAATTTGCAAAATATTAATTTAGTCTATATATATATATATATATATATATATATATATATATATATATATAT